TATCCTTGTAAAACAAAATTTAACTGAGATTTGAGCCATGTTTCTTGTATACATAATATGTCTGGTTTTTTATCCAAATCAGAGATGTATTTTTTAAACTCTTGTCCATTAGCTATTAAGCTTCTAGCATTCCACTGGAATATTAGAAGCATTATAATGTACCACCATATTCTGTTTGAGTATTTGTTGTTTGCATCTTTAACTTCTCACTAATAATTTCTACTGAAATATCCTCAATCTCTAGATATTTCTCAGCTGCTTTGATTATTATTCTGATTCTTTCTGTTCGGCTTTCAGTTTGCGCGGAGCAATTCACAACTTCAGCTATACAAATTGCAAATTTCATTCCCTCCATCATCCACGCCAAAATTTTCATCCTCCATTTCCGGATCACTTCCGGAATCTACATAGATTCCTACCATGCACACTCCAGTCACAGATCAGTTGCTATCCAATCCACCACTCCTGTGAACCCGCTCGGCCTCAGCGCTGCTGCTTGGAAATCCTGTAGCTGCACTGCCCATGTGCTTCCTCTTCTTCTTTTTGTTTTATGGCAGATTACAACCCTAACCTTTAGGTACATACCGCCACCAACTGTACCGGAGTATTTTAGAATGGGACTGCGCATGCGCTACAGCTACTCTTTCAATTTAGTTGTACCAACAATCAATTTCAAATCCAGTTTATTTAACAATACATGTTTATACACTATTAGAGTTGAAATCATTGGGCGGACATATATTTTTTAGCTGATACTGATCTACTTAAATTTTCATGTCAGAACAATCAAGAATATAAACTCTTCTCAATATATTGTAGTTTTTTTTTTTTTTGGTGACTGATTGAAATGAGTGGAACTGATGCAGTTGTTGACAGAAGAAATAAACAGTCTATTTAATCCTGAATGATGTTTTCTTAGAAGTGTATTTGGGCATAATAATAATAATAATAAAACAATAATGAAAACAAAATTATAATAGATAGCAATAGGAGTAGTTTTAGTAAATAAAAATAGAAGTACTATTAGTACTAATAGCCCAATAGTGGTAGTAGTAGATTTAATAGTTGTTGTTGTTGTAGTAGTATTTGCATTAACTGTTCATGAATCTTTTTGGGGGGAATATTTACATTAATTTTATGATGTAGTTTAGCATTAAGACTTAAACATATCTTAATCTGCTTGTCTGGATGTCCGACCATAACAGGATCAATAGTTATTTCATGTTGAAGTTTTATATTCTACATTTATTTACTGATAAACGCTTTTTTAATTCCATCATTGGACATCTCAGAACATTTTTATAAATCATCTTATGACAATAAGTTTTCCAAATTCACATCCTTTAAGGGTTTTTTCAAATTGTGCTGTTGATTTTTGGGATTTCTTTTGTTTCCTGATATTTTCCCTTTTCATTGGGAGAATAATTTTTAAATCTTTGGTTTGTTAATTTTGTAAAATTACATGGTGGTCTGAAAGACAAGTAAATATGTTGTCTTTTTTTTTTTTTTTTCAGATTTGTTTGAAAACATAAATCCGTTTCAGATGCTGAATGATTTATGATTGTAGTTGGATTCTCAATTAACTGGTTTAGATTAAACTGATCATTTATTCATTTTAAATTCCCTCTGTCATTTTTTCCATCCCAATTGATGTTAAAATCGCCAAATAGAATTATTTCTTTTTCTGATTAAACATTTTCAGGAGTTCTTTTAATTTGTCATAAAATACGTTTAAATGAGGGCTTATGATAGAGACAAATTCCAGTTAATGATATTTCAGCAGAGATGAACATAATAACGCTGACACATTCTAAAGTCACAGTACTAGGCCATGTCATAGGGCTGCATTTCAATATATTCAGACTCAGATGGTTCCTGCTGGAATCGGGTTCCTCTGGTCTTCTACACTCATGATGAGAATCAGCTCTTTGCTTTACAGGACTGACTGGGAAATGGAGACTAGGTGGAAGTTCAACTGAAGAAACTGATTGCTCTCCTACACCCGCCTACGACACAGCAATCAGCTTTGAATTACACCTCCACAAAAGCAAATCGGCATCCAAAGTTCATCTTAAAAGGCCTCAGATCTGCAACTCGTCTGCTATCTAGTGTGCAGTTGGTGATTGCGCTGTGTGACTTTTTCCAGATGAACCCTTTTCAACCCACCTCCAGCCCTTCCTCCACCAAAGCTAAAGCTTTACTGGAGTTTAATTGCTCCGAGACACTTGCTGCGTTCTGCGTCTCATTTCAACTGGTCCGGCAGAAGACCGCCATGTTGAGCCTGGTTCTGCCAGAGGTTTCTTCCCAACGGGGAGTTTCTCCTCTCCGCTGTCGCTCCATGCTTGCTCATTATGGACAGGTTCTCTCAACCTGTGTTATCCAACTGGACTTCCATCCTGCAGGTCCCTGAGTGAAGCTCTAATATCAGTTTCACTAACCATCAGTCTACAAACTGACCAACTTCATCTATCTCCACTCCACCTGTTTCAGGGATGGGGGGAAACAGCCCTATTCTTTGTTCCTGTTCATGCATATCTAATAAAATTCAGCGCCATATTTCCTGCTGAGGTCTGAGCACCAAAGACCAAATAATTGTATCAATACATTTCTTCTAATCGATTTTTCTCTTTGTGTGAGTTTTTCAGATTGAACTGACTGGTTCTGGTTTCTCTCTCAGACTGACTGAAGTCCAGAAGATGGAAGATTGGGATCTAAAGGAGGACAGAGCAGAACCTGACTGGTCCAAAGGAGGAATACCTCCAGACTTCAGGTCAGAACCTGGACCCTCAGACACAAAGCAAGGAACCAGTTTCTAACTGATCCATGTGACTCCATAGCGATAGAAACTCTAGAATCTGAACTGGTGTATCTTCAGAAGCTAAATAAGAATGAATGATGTTAGTCTGTAAATTAGTGGAGTTTGAAAGAAGGCCTAAGAATCAATGTTGGAGGAAAATAGAACCAACCAAGCATCTGAGGAGCAACCACGTTCAGAAATGCTCTCTAAAGCTTCTGGACCACAGGAGCTTTTGGACTGGGAACACTGGACCCAGCGTATATACTGGGTCTAGTTGATCCAATAGGCTGATGACCCAGCCAAAGGTAACAGGGAAAAGCAGAACAACAGGACTTGGGACTTGACGGCCACATCAGCTCCTCAGACAAGATGAACAACTTTGGTTCTGATATCAGGGAGCAGAACTCCACCTTCTTAGACTAGATGTGATCAATGGGTCAGTGTCCAGAACTTTCTGGGGTTTATAGTAATAGTAGTTGGTACTATAGTAGTACTTTGTAGAATCATTCCTTGAAATCTAATCTCATCAGCTTCATTAAACTGTGACCTGTTGTACTGCAGGTATTGCTTTGACCCTTGTGATCCAGACCAGTAGAACCCAGTTCTTTAGATAATTTTCAGTTGGATCCAACAGAACCATCTGAATGTTTCATTAGTGAACTTAAAACCTTCTGCTTCTCTGCAGCAGTTTGTGTTCAGAGCTCCTTCTTGTCTGTTTTTTATCTCAGAGTTTCTAACTGATCGATGTGATCTGAATCACAACATGTTTGTGTTTCAGAGGTCAGAACCCCAGACAGAGAGCAGAACCTCCAGGATCCAGCTGTCCGTCTATGAGGAGTGACCTGTCCAAAGAATGGAACCCTCCAGACTTCGGTGCAGAACCTAAACCCTCAGACTCAGAGTAAGGAACCAGTTTCTAACTGATGGATGCA